CAGCCCAGCGCTGACTGTCTGACTGTCCCGCCGCGAGCGCCAGGAGGCACGGGGCGGCCGGGGGAGGAGCGTGGCGAGGGGCTGACCCTGCGGTGGCTAGCACTTAAACTTAGTTGTCTGGAAAATTCGGTTATGAAGAGCAGCTCGTTAGTAGCAGTGAGAAGTCTCCCTGGAAACAGCCACATGCCGGCAGGCGGCGAGGGAAGGTGGGGAGGATGCGCTGGCCCGTCTGAGGGAGGTGGGCCACCCCACGCCCCACCTAGCTGAGCCCCAGGCGGGGGGGCGGCCCGCTGGGCGAAGGGCGCCTGCCCCCTCCTGGGCCTCCCCGAGAACCCGCTGCCGGGTGTTGGATGGGGGAGGATGTCTCCACGTTCTGGAATGTTCCATGGAGGGGCTTAAATATGGGAAGCGTAAGCAGCTCTCAAATGGACCCGCACGGCACGTTTTTAATGAAAAGACGGGCCACACAGGTCACACCGGCGCCTCTGCATGCCTGCACACGGCCGGTCCATCCCGTCCGCCCAGGCGGGGGACAGGTGCAGGCCGACCCCCTCTTCCGGCACCGCCGGGTTTCGCCTTCTCGGTGGGAATGTTCCCCGGGCAGGGGAGCTCCGGGTGGCCTGGGCGTCTCCGTCCGGGGCCGGGTGCTGCGCCCAGGGCGCGGTCACTGCTCACACGCCGGCCCCGCGTCCCGGCAGCTGGGCCCCTGGCCGAGCCTGTCTGAGCTGTGGCCCGAGCGCCGGAGCTCAGTGTGGAGGGGCCGAGCCCCACTCCTTCCGGCTCTGGAATCGCGTTGCTCGCGGGCAGCGTGACGGTGGCCAGGGTGGGGCCGCGGCCTCAGGGGAGCGACAGGGCGCTGGCCTGGCTCCCCAGACCTCTGCCCGTCTCGCACGTCGGGGAGATCTCGGCGAGCGGGAGGGGTGGCCCGGGCCGGGTGAGCAGACACCGCTCTTGTGCCGTCTGCAGAGCCACCGAGCGGGGCCACGAGCCCCCCGCCCCCCAGCTGCCCTGATGGGTCCCGGGGCCCTGGCCGGTGCCCTCCTGCCGCCCGGGCCCCTGTTTGGTTTTGGGCCTGTGACAGAGCGTCATTGTTTGACGCTGGGACCTCTGCAATGGTGATCTTGGGGGGGTCCCCAAGTGGCGCAGCAAGGATCCCCGAGTCACTGCGGTGGGGGTGGCCTGTGCATTTGTGGAACTTTTGGGGGCACCCCTGGCCTCTACCTGAAGGTGCCAGGAACACGTCCTTTCCCCCAGCTGGAGCACCCCAGAGCCCCCAGGCACGGCCCGTGTCCCCATCGCATGACACTGGTCGCCTCCTGCTGAGACTCACTGTCCTAAGGGGCCTGAATCTGCGGCCATTGCTTATGTGGGAGCGGGACCCCCTGCCCCCCGCCATGCCGGAAGCTGCAGCTGTGGACACGCCCCCGCGCCCAGGTCACTACCGCTGACCCGTCCCTGCACTGCCCCCTCCCCTGAGGCTGAACCCCGGGGGGGGGGGCTGGCCCCAGCATGGGTCCCGGGCAAGCTGGGTGGGCGCCCTGTCCGTGTGCCCCCTCGCCCACTCCTGGGGACCTGCCCCAGCCCCGCCAAGCGCCCCGCACCCGCGTGGCCCCGCTTTTCCTGGAGGTCACGAGTGACGTGCTCGCCACCCCCTCCCGCTGCCACATGGAGTCTTTATCAATGGTGGCTGAGAAATGACAACTTCCAGCAGGACCATTTTCAGCTTGAAAGCTGAGAAAGACAACGCTCAGCGCCGTAGGCGCAGGATGAAAATAG